TTACTATTGATGAGTTAGAGCTTGTTCATATTTAATAACTACGACACACTAGCAAATAAAATAGTTTACACGAAGGCAACGCATGTTGAAACCTAGACTTTGAAAATCAGTGAAAAGTGGGTTTCTCCGAATTTTCCACTGATCTGTTGGATGAACCGCATCGAGAGAGAAATGGTAACACATCGATGGCATTGACAAATGATTGCATTACATTGGGGAATCACTCTAGTTGATAGAGTGTAGACTTTTGAGTTCTGATTCGGTGTCAATGGGTATTGAGTTCACTTAGACGGTGATTCAGAGAGTGATTGTTAATGTGAATGCTGAGAAGTCCTTAACTAAGACAAAACATTCGTGTAATGTCCTCGAGTTTCGAATGGCTTTATAGTTGACGTCAGTTTTCGACAAAAACTATCAAAGAGAGCCGTGGATAAACTTTACCCTCTAGCTTGAATCTCTTTAAGTCAAGAACTTTATCGCAAAAGTGCCCATTGTGATCACAAAACATCTTCGCCAACTAACGACCAACTTACTAACTATTTTCAACTGATTTTGGTTCAACTAAGTGGTTTTTAGAGAATCAATAGATTTAAAGATGACTTTCATTGCTAAGTAATTTCAAATGACCAATGCTTTGGAGCAGGAAACTGTTGATCTTTACCAGATTCTAATTATTCTTATTTAAACTTCAGGAGATTCACTAAAGAGAAGACGACCAGTGTAGCAGCAGCCTCTGCAGCAGTAGGTTTCAACATACATAAAGGAAAAAGCAAAATTCTCCGATGCAACACAACATGCACCAACCAAATCACTCTTGATGAAGATGCCTTGGAGGACGTTAACACCTCTACATATCTGGGCAGCATCATCGACGAGAAAGGTGGATCCGATGCAGATGTGAGGGCGCGGATCGGTAAAGCAAGGGCTGCATTTCTACAGTTGAAAAATATCTGTAACTCCAAACAAATATCAATCAACACCAAAATCAGGATTTTCCATACAGATGTCAAGACAGTTCTACTGAATGGAGCGGAAACTTGGAGAACTACAAAGGCCATTATCTAGAAGATACAAGTGTTTATTAACATTTGTTTACACAAAATACTTCGGATTCGTTAACCAGACACCATCAGCAACAACGTACTGTGGGAGAGAACAAACCAGATTCCAGTGGAGGAGGAAATCAGGAAGAAGCGGTGGAAGTGGATAGGACACATATTGCGGAAAGCACCGAACTGCGTCACGAGACAAGCCCTCACATGGAACCCTCAAGGCAAAAGGAAAAGAGGAAGGCCAAGGAACACATTACACCGAGAAATAGGGAAAGATATGAGAGGAATGAACAAACATTGGACAGAACTGGAGAGGGAAGCCCAGGACAGAGTTGGTTGGAGAAAACTGGTGGGCGGCCTATGTTCCATTGGGGGTAACAGGCGTAAGTAAGTAAAGTAAAGATTCACTGCGTCAATAACTGGGAATGTTTTATTTGACAATCTTTTTAAGTCCAACTGATAAGCGATCCTGTAGTATTTACTAGTTTACTACGTTAAAGCCATGCATGAGACTATTACTATCCAACAAATAACGTTGATTGAAATCATGAACTGATTAATGTTAGATCACTAATGGAAACTACTCGTGCGGTCTTGAGTGCACACTATACTAAGACGAAACGGCCGTTCGGTACTTCCAAGTTTCTAATAGTGGTCTAATCAACAAAGATTCATGATTGAAATGAACAAAAATTCACTTGAAGATTTGTAGCAGAGAACAAACTAGCTTGCAACTGAAGAGGAAGCTAGGAAAAATAGGCTGGAGGTGGATAGGACAAATATTATGTGGATCACGAAACTGCGTTACCAGCCCTGACTTGAAATCCCCAAGGTCAAAAGAAAAGAGGTACATCAAAGAAAATAGTGTGATGGAAACTGGAGTCTGAGATCAAAAGAGTAAATAGCACTTGGCAACAATTCGAAAAGAGAACACATGAAAAAGTAGGCTGAAAAATCTTGAACGGCTGCTTATGCTCTATACATGGAGTAACAGACGTTGCTGTGGTGCGAACTATTTATAAGTAGTATATAACGTGAGTGTCAACGTAAAGTCTGGTAGCATAATATGGGGGGGAGATCAAGAAAGGAAGAGTTAGAAAACAATGGAATTTGTATGAAACGCATGAATAGTGACAATGAATTGATGTTTGGCAACAGGAACAGTCCAGTTCCATAGGATGAACTGATCTTTTGCAAATGAACGATTTACGATATAGTTGTCCGATTTTACTGAGTAATTCTGTAATTTTCGTTAAATACAATTCGGTTGCCCCACCAGTGTGCTCATTCACTACAACGTAAATAAGTATGTAAAGACATGGAAAAAATAAATAGAGCTTAACACCTATGTGTATTGATTTATGATTGCTCTGTTTAATAAATAAACTAGTCATTACTTACTTATATCCCAAAAATAAAGTTGAGATGGACGTTGAATACAATAGATTAATCCAAGATTATAAGCTTGCAAAGGATAACCAACAAATACAATCCCATTATCATCTGGACTCCATGACGGTTCAGTGGAAGCTAGATTATACTTATTTTCATCGATTGGAGCAATAGTAACAGATTCAGTAGTAAGATCAAGTACACAAAGTTTGGGTTTATATGATCCTTCATTGCCTTCACCCCAATCCTCTTTGAATGCAAACAATGAAAGGTTGTCTTCAGACGATTGATGGTTAGTAGTGGTAGTCTAGAAATAATAATTGAACAACATAAATTGATGAGGATTGCATGAATATAGTGATGTCGTCTTCCAACGAATAAGGATTGATCCATAACGGATCAAACCATCAAAACTGTGTTCATCTATATCATACTAAAGCAGTTAACATCTGTCTGCTTAGAAAGACTAAACGTATTAAGTGAGTAGTATGTTGAGATTAAAAAAAACTATAAAATACGGAAATGATTTCAGTGTTTAGTTCCAAGTCCCATAATTATCAGCCGGTTGCCCATATCAGAAGTAGATGAGGAGGGGATGGGACATGTAAGATTAAAAGGGGAATGTTCTAACCATTTAGTCATAGCTCCATAGAACATAAAACTGAGAGATATTGATCAGATAGACACCTAACGATGGCTTAACAAAGTCAATACTAACGTTAAAATATTTTATTTCCAATGAACCCTGTGAAGATTATCTATATCTAAACAACGATTTCTCGTAATCAATTAATACAACATTTATACTTTTATTGTTTTATACGTTCGCATAATAAAAGGAGAAATTTCTAAAACTACCATTTAATCAATAGTCTTTCAGTATAAAGTTCTCTCTTTTTTGATTTCATCGTAGATTTATTGAACATTGAATATGTATCGCAGACAAACATAATTTAGTGGATTTGTGGAGACCGCATTATTTTCATAATTGAAATCATAAATCGATTAATGTTAGACCATCATTAGAGACCTAGAAGCACTGGACAGTCGTTTTATCCTAGTGCAGGACTCATCAGTAGTCCGGGCGGGATTGAAACGTAAGACCTTCAAGTATCGCGCGTGAACACCTAACTTCTTGACCATTGAGCCGGCATCCAACAGTATTAATGTCTAGCTTGAATCGATCCACGATATTGCGCGACCATCATCCATTGTTTCCAGTAGGAAACTGACTCAAACCCAACACAATTACGCTCCATTAGTCACGGTTTCTCACTAGAACTCAGAGAATTCCCAGATGAAGAGAGCCAGTCAGACAACAACAACGTAGAACTTCTTACGTACGTACGTACATAAGTTCAAGTTGCCATACCGCATAAGCACAGAGATACAATTATCAATTCATAGTGACAGATGTAGTATAAGTATCAGCGGTAATGGAGAAGATTAGGATTCGGAGTTATTATTCAAGAAGTATAATCCGGTGGAATAAGCTTCAAAACAGAAAGATAGAGGTGATGAGGAATTCAGAAGATTAGAATTTCAGAAAGCACAAAGAGTGGATGCACATTTAAACTGAATTTCAGCTCAATCTTGACTACAAAAAGATTTTGTTTTAACTATATCAAAACCAAATATGTTATTTTATGAAACAACACACAATGAGCGAATATCAACTTTATTATTTTACTGTGTAAATTCGTAAAATTTAAAATAAAGGAAGGAAAATTACAATAAAATAATTAAACATTGCTTAGATTTACTCGCTTTGAGTGCAGTGTTTCGATTAGGATATAACGAACTTTTGAAAGTACAGAACACTAATTAGAGTAATCATACTTTCTATAAGTATGTGTGGATGATTTTTTTGCTGCGTAAGGTTTCTAGCCGCAATAAATGAAACATTACATACACTTAAACAAAGAAAGTATGAAATGTAAATTTTGTAAAGCTATTAATTGAAGAAAAAATCTCAATATCATGTCGTGGCGTACTACAGTGTTCTATCTATGCGAATTCACCAGATCTTTTAAACAAACCTATTTCATATTATAATTATATACACAAGCGGTGAACTATGTCAAGAAAGATAACATTTACCGACAAACCAGTCAGTCAGTCAGATGCGACGTAGAACTTCGTACGTAAGTACATCAGTTCCGGTTGCCATACCACATTAGCACAGAGATATAATTGTCAATTCAAACCCAATAGTAGTAGAGGTTGTAAAGGTATTAGAAGTAGTCGGAGAGGTTAGGATTAGAAGATATTATTCAAGAAGTATGATTCAGTGAGATAGGTTTAGAAAGACAAAAGTAGCGGAGTTGAAGAATCCAGAAGATTAGGATTTGCGAGAACACAAATGATAAATGCACCGGCGCCATTGCGAACGATTTTGAGCCATGTCATTCAAGGTCTCTAACCATCGATTATTATCATCTCGCGGACCCCAACCAGGTAGTCGACAATAACCGACATGGCTCAGTCCACTAGTCAATGACTCTATGGATTTCTGCCATGTTTTGGTCTGGTCGCCCCTAACTTTCTTCCAACCTATTCCCACACTACAAAACAAGGCTCGTCGAGGCAGTCGGTGGTCGAGCATTCGTAATACATGTCCCAACCACCTCAACTGATGAAGTTTCAGCACTTCATCTACTGATCTGCCATTCTTACCTAGACCTAGCACCCATTTCCTAATAACAGCCTTGCTCACTTGGGTGTCCCACGATATACGAGCAATGCTTCGAAGACACCTATGATCGAAAACCAGTAACCTACGAATATCTTCTACTCTCACTGGCCATGTTTCACAGCCATAAAGTAAGACAGAGCGAACCACTGCACAGTACACTCGTCCTTTAGTCAGCAAACGGATATCTCGCCTACGCCATAAGTGACGCAGGTTGGCAAAAGCCAATCGAGCCTTCTGTATCCGTGCCGAGATTTCGTCAGTCACCACGCCATCGGCACTGATGAGACTCCCAAAATAAGTGAAGCGGTCTACACGTTCGACTCCTTCACTCCCTATCACTAGTTCAGGTGCCAATGCAACCCAGTCTTGAAGTAACATTTTGCATTTCGAGGGGGAAAACTGCATCCCGAACATGCTTGCATTGTTGCTTAAGGTAGTCAGAAGACTCTGCATTTTGACAGCGTCTTCACTGAATGGAACTGTCATCGGCATATTCTAGGTCAATAAGCAATTTTCCTGGTAGAAGATCAACCCTTGAAAAATTTGACGAGCTTAATGTTAACTCTCAGAGGATGTCTATGACAAAGTTAAACAAGAATGGAGAGAGTGGACAGCCCTGACGGACACCACTTGAAGTAAGGAATTCCGGTGACAATTCGCCATAGGCTCTCACTCGGCCAGTGGTGTTCGAGTAGAGAGCTTGTATGAGGTTAATGTACTTCTTTGGTATACCTTTCAATGACAGACCGCCACAGAACCTCACGATCTACTGAGTCAAATGCAGCCTCTGGGTCCAGGAAGACGACTATTGTAGGACGCCTAAATGTGTGTCTGTGTTACAGGACCTGTCTGAGTGTGAAAATGTGGTCTATACAACCACGTCCAAGTTGAAAACCAACCTGGTTTTCTCTACTCTGCTCTTCACGAGCTTTCTTCAAGCGTCGAAGTATTATTGAGGCCAATATTTTAGATACTATATTAGTTAGACTTATTCCCTTGTGATTGTCACAATAAGACTTGTGTTCTTTCTTATAGATTGGGACAATCAGTGATTAAGACCACTCGGATGGGATCACGTCCAGTTCCCAGATTCTACCTAAGATCTCAGTCAACCTAGTTGCTAAAACTGAACCACCATCATTAAATATCTCACGGGTCAGTCTATCAGGACCTGCAGCTCGCCCTCGCTTCGGATTTCCTAACGCTTTCTAAACTTTCATGTAGACTAGGTGGACTTACGTCGATTTGCCATTCAGGGTGACTGAAGATCGTGGGTAACCGAAGAGTGGCTCGACGCCAGTTGAACTGATCCCTAAAGTGTTCCGCCCATCAAACCAGTCTCCTAGATTGTGAATGGATAATAAGACCATCCTTTTCCGAAATAGTCTCACTCACATTTGGCTTCCTAATACCAGTTTCCTTGATGAGTCTAAATAGTTGCCTACTTTTGCCTATCGCCGCTGCCTTTTCC